GGTGTCCCCATATCCGGTCCCTGAGGGTAAGATCCGTCTTACCCACATAAGATAATCCGCACGGGCAGGTGATTAAATAAATCACATGGTCAGTGGTACAAGTAATGTAATGGAAAATATTAATTCTTTGACCATTATGAGGATGGACAAAAATGCACTGCAAGTAATAAAAAAAAAAATTGTTATTGACCTTTTCGTATCTCTTTCTTTCCTTCCAGATCCAGTATTAGTCTCTCTCATACCCAATGTATAGTTCTTGTTGTAATTTGCCTACATTCTACTATCTCAGCGGGTAGAAAGACACGGTTAAGCAAGACGAGTATATCATACACCTTAAATACTACCCCTCCTCTCTAGGTCCCTCCCTCAACAAGCAACACTCGTGTCTTGCCATTGCCTTACGTGCTAACTTTGCAGACCAGTTGCCTTAGTAACTCTGACTCCTTATCATGGACTTATACTACAAGTTCCCCTGGTGGTACGGGTGATGCTGAGGGGTCCCGGTCTTCAATGGGGCCCCTTGGCGTCATGCCAAGAGTTTCACTGCAGGGGTGCCTGTTGGTTTCTAAGGCTATTTCACTTCACAGTATACCCAGTGGCGTCGCTGGGGGGGCCAGAGGGGGCCATGGCCCCCCCTACATCATGCTGTGCCCCCCCTTGGGCCCCCCCAAATGCCAGCAACTTGCTGGCCATGGGCTTCCCTCGGACTGTAACAGCCTGTGACAGCCCCAGGGAGGGAATGCAGGAGAGAGGTGCTGGGGGCTGTCTGTGGCTGGAGGGAGCACTGACTGGCTCCCCGGCACAGGCTCCGCCCCCAAACGAAGCCCTGCCTCCCGCAGATAAGCCCCGCCCCCGCTGTTATGCAGCAGCCCATGCTGCTTCAGAAGATGGCTGCCTGACCCCCAGCAACATCCTCCAGTGTCAGGTAGGCTGGGGGGGAGGGTGTTCACACACTCTACACACACACACACACACACACACACATTTCCCCCCATACACATTGCCCCCCATACTGCCCCCCCATACACACACACTGCCCCCACCCCCCATACACACACTCTGCCCCCCATACACATACACTCTACACACATACACTATCCCCATACATACGTATGGACTCAGCAGTCTGTGTGTGTGTGTATGGACTCAGCAGTCTGTGTGTGTGTGTGTGTGTGTGTGTGTGTCTATGGACTCGTCAGTGTGTGTGTATGGAGCAGTCTGTGTGTGTGTGTGTGTGTATGGACTCAGCAGAGTGTGTGTGTTTGTGTATGGACTCAGCAAAGTGTGTGTATGGACTCAGCAGTCTGTGTGTCTGTATGGACTCAGCAGTCTGTGTCTGTATGGACTCAGCAGTCTGTGTGTGTGTGTATGGACTCCCCAGTCTGTGTGTGTGTCTGTGTGTGTATTGACTCAGTAGTCTGTGTGTGTGTGTGTGTATGGACTCAGCAGTCTTTGTGTGTGTATAGACTCAGCAGTCTGTGTGTGTGTATATGGACTCAGCAGGACTCAGCAATCTGTGTGTGTGTGTGTGTGTGTGTGTGTGTATGGACTCAGCAATGTGTGTGTGTGTATGGACTCAGCAGTCTGTGTGTGTATGTGTGTGTATGGACTCAGCAGTGTGTGTGTGTATGGACTCCGCAGTCTATCAATAATTAAAATTCCTGTGAGTTGTTGTGTAGGAAGGGCCCCAGTGTATTGCTTTGCCCAGGGGCCGTTAACTCTGTTAAAATGGTACTGCTTGTGTGTGTCAGTGAGCTTCTATTTAGTGAGCATGTGTGTGTCAGTGAGCTTGTGTGCTGAGCTTGTCTTTAGTGAGCTTGTGTGTGTCCCTGAACTTCTTTGTAGTGAGCCTTCTGTTTATACAAGTGAGTGTCTGTAGTAAGCTTGTGTGTGAGTCAGAGAGTTTTGTCTGTCAGTAAGCCTATTTGCGCATGTCAGTGAGCTTGTACTGTACTATATATATATATATATATATATATATATATATATTTTGACTTGTAGGAATGGCATATGTTTTTTTTTCCAGGGCTGCTTTGGATTCCCAAGGATTCCCAGTTTGGCTCTGCCAGCGAGTGCACTTTACCGCTGAATAATCTGTGTGAGCTGCCGCACACTTTAGCCCTGTTACACGCGTCTGGGAGCTGCTGTTGACAGGTACTAGTAGTCTAGAGATTGGGGTATATGCTCAGCTATCTGTATAATACAGATCTGTATGTATAAAATATCCCGGGATAGTCAGTGCTTCCTGTATAGTGCTGCTCTCTGTATAATACTGGTCTGTGTCTGTATAATATCCCGGGACAGTCAGTGCTCCCTGTATAGTGTTGCTCTCTGTCTTGGGATATTATACACAAACAGACCTGTATTATACAGAGAGTAGCACAATACAGGGAGCACTGAGTGTCTCAATTTATTATACACACAACCCTGTATTATACAGAGAGCACTGACTGTCCAGGAATATTATACCCAGACAGTAATTGATAGGTGTGCTGCAAAATGTCCTTGGAAATTTTTTTTCAAATGTTGGCAACTATGGCACTGTATCAAGGATAATGTGTTTGTTTTTTTAATAATCCCTGGTGGAAAATAATGAATCCTCCACCAGGTATTATTAAAAAAACGAAACACATTGTGTCGGGGGCGTGGCTTAACATGCGACAGGGGCGGGGTCAAACTGCGGCGAGGGCGGGGTTAAATGTGCCCCCCTACTTTTGTCACTGGCCCTCCATGTGCCCCCCCGAAAAATGAATCCTAGAAACGCCACTGAGTATACCCATCCCCTGCCCAATCATTTGTAGACCCCAACAGGGTATGCCGGCCCTCCATTTTAGCAGACACCTGTGGGGGCCCAAGGGGCCTCTCAGTCGCATGTCTAGTCAGTCTTTAACCCATTAAGGACCAAACTTCTGGAATAAAAGGGAATCATGACATGTCACACATGTCATGTGTCCTTAAGGGGTTAAAGGAACATCAAACGCTCCACAACTCAGCTGCTGACACTTTTTCACGCTTTTAATTACAGGTCTCCGGCCATGCTCCCCCTCCAGCCTAACTCCAACCATCCAGGAATCCTCCGTTCCACCGGCTAATCCTGGTTTAAACTAACTATTACTCCACGCACAAGAACTCACGCACCACGCACTATCTCTTACACTAGGGCACTGACTATTTTTAACAAATTTACCACCGAGTTTTGCTTACAATGTGACCTTTCCATCAAAACCATGGTGGCTTTTGCCTCCTTTTGCTATCTACACCTAAAACTTTCACACAACACAAACTCTACCTTACTGGAGTGCAACACCACATCCTCACTACCTTCCCTAACCGCGCTCCTTTTCTATCTTCCTACCCCATCAAGAAAATCCTTAAAGGTATTTTTAAGGTCACAGTTCCTCCAAGCACTACTAGGCTACCAATAGAAGGTCCAATATTCAGACTCCTTAGCAATCTATTGGACAAATCCCCGTTTGACCATAGTACTAATTTGGTCATTAAATCCGCCATCTTTTTGGCTTTCTTCGGTTTTCTCAGACCTAGAGAGTTCACCGTGATACATCAAGGAGACACAGTCCATTGTCTTAAACTTTCCCACTTAAAGAAAGTAGATGACCATTACATACTCTCCTTACCTTGAACTAAAACCAATCACTCTGCCTATCCCACTATCATTCCCCTCTTCCCTACCGAGAATCTGTGGTGCCCAGTCTGGATTTGCATCTGTTATCTCACCACTCACACTCACCAGACACTCCACTACTTCTACTCCAAGGACACCCACTCACCACAGCTAAATTTATTTCACACATCAGAACTCTACTGTCAAGATTGGGCTACAATCCAGCTTCCTTCTCTGGTCACTCGTTTCGCATTGACGCAACATTATCAGCTTCAAGTACTAACACTCCGGTACACATCATTAAGAGACTGGGAGGCTGGAAATCCTCAGTATACAACTCCTACATCCCTCAACCAGAAAGGGAGCTTAGGCAAGCTTTCCGAAATCTAGCTGTTTAAACTTGCAATAAAGTGTGTTTACTTCAAATTCCTTTTTGCCCTCTTTTTACATGCCTACTCGTACGTTGGTTTCGGCACACCTCAACTAACTTTGCTTCTCCTCTACATTCCATTTACATATTAAAGATTTCAAGCACAAGTTGGAAGGCCATTT